CAAAAAAACCCAAGAAATCGGAACTAAAACAGCCCAGGTGCGCCCAGGTGATGCACACGTGGAACGCGTTGGGCTTGGTCCAGCCCTGACAGGTGGGACAGGTGAGGCACAGGTGAGACAGGTAAGACACAGGTGAGGCAGGTGAGGCAAAAATCCCCATCGAAAACGGCCCAAAAATCCCCAAAAAATCGAGATTAAAACAGCCCAGGTGTGCCCAGGTGTGCCCAGGTGATGCACACCTGGAAGGCGTTGGGCTTGGTCCAGTCCTGACAGGTGAGATACAGGTGAGAGACAGGTGAGACAGGTGAGACACAGGTGAGACACAGGTGGGACAGGTGAGGAAAAAATCCCCATCAAAAACGGCCCAAAAATCCCAAAAAAATCGGAATTAAAACAGTCCAGGTGTGCCCAGGTGTGCCCAGGTGCGCCCAGCCTGTAGGTGATGCACACCTGGAAGGCGTTGGGCATGGTCCAGCCCTGACAGGTGGGACAGGTGAGAGACAGGTGAGGCAGGTGAGGCAAAAATCCCCATCGAAAACAGCCCAAAAATCCCAAAAAAATTGGAATTAAAACAGCCCAGGTGTGCCCAGGTGTGCCCAGGTGATGCACACGTGGAAGGCGTTGGGCTTGGTCCAGTCCTGACAGGTGAGATACAGGTGAGAGACAGGTGAGACAGGTGAGACAGGTGAGACAGGTGAGGCAAAAATCCCCATCGAAAACGGCCCAAAAAAACCCAAAAAAATTGGAATTAAAACAGCCCAGGTGTGCCCAGGTGATGCACACGTGGAACGCGTTGGGCTTGGTCCAGCCCTGACAGGTGACACAGGTGAGATACAGGTGAGGCAGGTGAGGCAGGTGAGACAGGTGAGACAGGTGAGACAAAAATCCCCATCGAAAATGGCCCAAAAAACCCCAAAAAAAACCCCAAAAATCGGAACTAAAACAGCCCAGGTGTGCCCAGGTGCGCCCAGGTGTGCCCAGGTGTCCCCATGTCCCCCCAGGTGTGCTCAGGTGTGCCCAGGTCTATCCCAGGTCTATCCCAGGTGTATCCCAGGTGTATCCCAGGTGTGCCCAGGTGTGCCCAGGTGTGCCCAGGTCTATCCCAGGTGTATCCCAGGTGTATCCCAGGTGTGCCCAGGTGCGCCCAGGTGTGCCCAGGTGTGCCCATGTCCCCCCAGGTGTATCCCAGCCATACCCAGGTGCGCCCAGGTGCGCCCAGGTGTGCCCAGCTGTATCCCAGGTGTGCCCAGGTCTATCCCAGGTCTATCCCAGGTGTATCCCAGGTCTATCCCAGGTGTATCCCAGCCATACCCAGGTGTGCCCAGGTGTATCCCAGGTGTGCCCAGGTCTATCCCAGGTGTATCCCAGGTGTGCCCATGTCCCCCCAGGTGCCCCCAGGTGCGCCCAGGTGCGCTCACCTGTCTCTTGAGGCGCCGCTCCTTCTGGGCGCCGTAGTAGGTGAGGATCTTGAAGCCGGGGCACCAACGCTTGAGCTCCATCTCCCAGTTGAGCATCACCGAGGTG